CCCCCGGGAGTGTCACCCAGGTGCCCGCCTGCACCCCGAATCCAGCCCCCAGCATGGTGGGTCCCACCCGGGGAACGGTGGGCCTTGGAGAGCCCCCAGTGGAGTTCTGGGTGACCCCGGCGGTTTGGGGGTGACCCCGGGAGTTTGGGGGGTCTCTGCGTGGCTCCAGGGTGCCTGGTTGTGAGTGTCCAGCAGCGGCAGGGTGCCCCATTTGGGGGGTTCTGGGTGGGCAGGTGACCAGGGACACCCGGGTCGGGGTGTCTGAGTGGTCCCAGCGCACCCAGTTTGGGGTGGCTGCATGGTTCGGGATGGCCCCAGTGCACCCAGTTCAGGTGGCCCTATGGTGTGGCCATGGGTGCGGGGAGAGGCGAGAGCTGCCCCAGGCGGGGGGGGCGAGCCCATTTCCTGCACCCCCCCTGCCGTGTCACTGCTCCTGGGGACCCCGGGGTGCAGAACGGTCCCCAAGGCGGGGGAAGCGTTGGGTGAGCTTTATTGCTGATGCAGTGGCCGCAGTCGTACAAATTGCGAACGAGGCTTCACGCTGGGAAGGCGTGGGGGGGTGGGGCAGGGGGTTGGAGGGACATCACGTGGCCCCCAAAACCCATTTCGGGGGGAGGCAACATCCCTGCCCAGCCCCATGCCCACGGGTGGAGGTGTGGGCAGGGCTGCTGGTGGCACTGGCAGCCACGCCACCCCCTTGCTCTTGTGTCCCCCCCGCCCCCCCGGGGGAAAATTTTGTTTCCACATGGGGGGCAGGTGGCGCGGTCAGGTGTGGGGGCAGGAAGGTGGTGGGTCAAGAGAAGGGACCCGACCCCTCCCAAACCTAAATTGGGCTGAAAAGCCAAAATTCAAAAACGCTCCTGGATGGGCCGGGCTGCAGCATAAAGCGCCCTGGCGGCTCCGGCGGTCCCCAAGCACGGCTGCAGGGGTGCACGCGGTGCCCCAGACCCCCTGCTCTAGCCCTGGCTCCACCTCCTGCCCTGTCTCCCCAGTGGCCCCATCCCCCCTCTCTTCCCAGCCGCTCCCTTCTCCAATGCCCCCCCCAATTCCTCCCGACATTGAGCCTCCACCCTGTGAGCCGGGACCCTACCCGCCGTGCCTGCACCCTGTAACTCTCCCGGCCACCCAGAGACCCCGTGGGGAGGCAAGCCGTGACGATGGCCTGGCTGTTCCCTGCCCCTCCGAAAAGTGAGGCTGGGAGGGTGCCTCCACTTGCCGCAGGCTGGACCACCTTGGTGGCCCTGCCGGCAAGCCGGGATGGAGGGTGCCAATCTCCGTCGGTGCACTCCGAGGGGAGTTTCCCATAAGGATCAGCTCTGCAGCCCCCTCTTCTATCCTTGGCGTCTCCAGGCGGCCGGACAGAGCAGGGCACGGTGCTGGCAAAAGAAAGAGCTTGAAGGCTTCACAACCGTAAAAATAATAAATACGTCTTCCTCCCGCACCGCATCAAATGACCGTGCTGGCCCTCCTCGGGCCCGGCCCTTCCTCCGTCCATCCCAGAGAGATCGCTGCTTCTCGGTGTCGGTCACTGCAGGGTCCCAAAGGGCTTGTCATGGAAACAGTCACGAGAAAGGCGAGTGTCCTGGGGTCTGCCACGTTGGGCTGCGGGAGGAAAGCCGTCCCGCTCCCTACTGCAGCAGCTTCGGTACCTCCACCTGCCGGAGAAGACACCCCGTTACTGGGGGGAGCAGGGAGCAATGAAAGGGGATGCTGGAACGGCCCGGGGGCCCTGTGCAGACCCACCGCGGTGGAGCTGGGCCCCTCTTTCCGTTGCTGCTGGGGCCGCTCAGTGCTCCAGGGACGTCTCTTCCTCTTGGCCAGGCTGGTTGTCCCCACTCTCCAGCTTGTGGGCAGCCCGGCCAAGGACACAAACCATCTGGGGTGAGTGAGATGTTTCAAGGCATCATGCTGGGACCAATGTTGGAGACACAGCCTCTCCGGCCACCCTGGGCTACGTCCCACCCCCAGGGGTGCGGGCTCAGCCACGCCAACGTGGCAGCAAGAGCTCGGTGAGCCGCTGCCTTTGAAGACCCGCTGCCTGTGTGCTCTTGCCTGCTGGGACACCGGTCCACGTGGGTGCGTGTGAGCCTCCCTCGCTGCGGCTAAGCACCGCTCCTTTTTTCATGAGGAAGTCCTGGATTTCCATCCCCTGGGGTTATAGGTTACAGCTGGCTTCTTCCTTGTGTCCCAAACCCTGGAGCCAAACCTGACTGCTGGAATGAGGTGGATCTGCCCACCCCAGGCGCTCTGCCAAACGATGGATCTGCCCCTTTCATGCTTTCTGCCCAGGGATGAATCTTCTGTTGGATGCTCTGCCAAGGTATGGATCTGCTGGCCCCACCTGCTCTGCAAGGGATGGTGCAAAAGGATGGATCTGCCCAGCCCGTGTGCTCAGGAAAGGATGGATCTGCCCCTGCTATGTGCTCTGCGCAGGGGTTGGGACCACGGACACCCCGCTCTGTACCCTGCACTGTAGAAGGACAGCCCTCACCTCTCCACTACCCAAGTGACAACAGACGTGACCTCAGATCTCAGCCCACAGACTAACCCCGTGGGTGGACCCCACCGCAGCCCTGCACTTGCCTTCTTGAGCTGTTTGAGGTTGCTGGAGCGGATAGCCGCCAGGAGCTGGTCCCGCGAGTTCTTCTCCTGAACTGGCAGCACTCGGTCTCCCAACTTCCTCTGTGTGGCCGGGGAGAGTGAGTTCCTCAGGTTCTCGTTGATCAGCGGTGGGGCGAGCGGAGGAGGAGGTGGGGGCGGTGCGGCGGGCACCCCCCCTTTCTTGGGGGAGCTCTTGGGGGAAGCCTTGGGGGATGGCTGTGGGGATGGCTTGGGGGACCCCTTCGGCAGGGCTCCAGGCTTGGGCACCTCCAGGAGGTCTTTCTTCTCCCCACGCTCCTGTGCCAGTTTCTGCTCCTGGAGGCGTTTCTGCCTCTGTTTGTCCATGTTTCGGCTCAGCAGGTTGGTGACAGTCATACGTGGTCCGGCCAGCTCAAAGTGGTAGCCCAGCTTCAGGAGCGTGGTGTTTTCCTTCAGGAGTTTCGCGATCTCCATCTCTGTCTTCCCCCCGCAGATGTGCCGCTGGTTGTGGAAACGCAGCTCCGTCAGCGTGTTGTTCTGCAAAAGCGCCCGGAAAATGGCCAGGATGCCCTTGCCTGTGATGTGGTTGGAGTCCAGGTTGATGCTTGTCAGCACCTTGTTGGACTTCAGCATGATGGCGATGGCGAAGGCCACGTGGTCATCGGCACGGGTGTTGGCCAAGGCGAACAGCTTGACCACGGTGTTGAACTCCAGGGCCTCGGTGAAGCGCACCAGGGTCTCGTTGTTGATGCAGTCCGAATTGTTCACGTTTACTTCGGTGACCTCGGCATCGTTGTTCTTCACCTTCTCAATGAGCTCATCGAAAATGCTGGAGGCTTCGTCATCCTTGGCCTGATCCGAGGAGCTGCCAGTGGTGGGCTTGGAAGGGCTGCTCTCGGCTGCCACCTTGGCCTCCTGTTTCTCCTCCACTGCCTTTTCTGCCTCTGGCTGGGATTTCTCCTTCTCATCTGCCTTTGATTTTTTCAAAGCTGAACTCTTTTCCTCTTCTTTTTTGTCTTTTTCTTTCTTATCTTCTCCTTTTGTGTCTTTTTCTGTCTGTTTCTTTGATCCTAAACTCTTCTCTCCCTCCTTTTTGTCCTTCCCTGTGTCCTTCTTCAATGCTGAACCCTTTTCTTCTTCCTTTTTCTCCTTCCCTGTCTCCTTCTTTGCTGCTGGGCCCTTCTCTTCTTCCTTTTTATCCTTCCCTGCATCTTTCTTCAACACTGAGCCCTTCTCTTCCTCCTTTTTGTCCTTCCCCATCAGTTTTTTCTCCATGGCCTTGACTTTATCATTGATAGCCTTCTCCTCTTTGGTCTTGGTCTCAGCCTCAGCTTTAACTTTTGGGTCTGTTTTCTGAACACCTTCTTCCTTTTTAGAGTCTTTCCCCACTTTTGTATCTCGTTTCCGGGCCAGGTCTTTGGAAGGAGCTTCCTTTCCCTTTTCTTCTTCATTCTTGGCTCCCTTATTCTTCTCGCTCGATCTGCTTTCCTAACAAGAGAAAAACACCAAGGTTTTACAGAGGCAGGTGCCTTCGACCTCCATACTCACTACCCCAATCTCCTCATCACCAACTCTGCACCTCTGTCACACAGGAGCAACCACAGGGCCCCACGGGGCAGCACCACAGCTGGGGAAGATGCACAGGAGGATGCAGGACAGTCTGGTCTCAGGAAGGTCTTAGACTATGCCTATGAGGGATGAGCTGCCCTAAACCAGGCATTTATGATAGAAACCTGGTGAAAGCATCATGCGGGGTCCCTGGAAGGCAACAGGGAGGTGCCATGGGGGAGGACAAGGACAGCTAGCATCGGGTCTGTGCCATGGCAGGGGACAGACTCGTGGCCAGGACTCTTCAGGGAGGTAAGCGGCCTGCTCCAAATCGTGATGGTTTAGCCCTGAATACAGGCCAGAGACTCCTCCATCTCACCCGAGCGATTTACCACTGCATGTTCACAGACTGCACCCTGTGGCTGGGCTTTGGAACAGGAAAGTTTAACCCAGCTGAGGTCCCCGGTCCAGGGTAGGGTTCAGCGTCCGCATGCCCCAAATGTAGGCAGAGCCTGCAGGATCCGGGCCTGATGAGGTCACACTGCAGCTCTCCAAGGCATCTCTGGTCTCCTTCTGCCTCCAGTCCCTTCCCAAAGGCCTCCAGAGGTCTGTGGGATGCCCTCCTTCATCCCCAATGAACAGATGATAACCTAAAAAGTTGTAGGATGCACGTACCTTAGCAGACTGGGCTGTCTGACCCCTTCCTATCATACTTCCTGAAAGTTATCCTCTTTTTAATCACCTTTTGCTATCCTCTTTATAATCACCTTTTGTTATCTTCTTTTTAATCACCTTTTTAACCAGGGACGGATCTAGTGCCTGTGCCTCTGTGAACCCCAGGTGCTTTCCCAGCTTTCCTAAATGGTTTCCAGCTGGATGCTCTGCAGCTTTGCCCAGTCCAGAGCCCAACACCCTTCCCGTGCTGGCCTGGACTTCTGTGCAAGCAGGGGAGCAGCCACAGCCGGTAACACAGGTGACACTGCTGATCCAGCAGTCACACCCAATGCTGGGCTCTCTGAAATGGGCCTCCTTTAACATGAGTTTGCATTTTTGAGCTCCCTGCAGAAAACCAAGGAAATGGGGACACAGCGTTCATTGCTTTGTAACGCACAGTGTTTTCCCAGCACATCTTCTTCCAGTGTCCAAAGGCATCACAGGAGGGAAGAGCTTAACGGGGGTGGTCTTGTGAAAGTATGCAGATTTTGCTGCATGCATTGGGCAAAGCAGTGTCACTGCAGCTGGCACCCCTTTCCCTGCCCCTGGGATCTCCCTGTCTCTGTGCCAAGAAGTCATGCAGCAGTGCCCTGGACCACCTGAGTTTCTTCTTTTATCTCCAATTCAGCCAAGATGCCTTCTCATTCCTTAGTGGGCTGGCAAGCATCAGTGCTTTCATTTTGTCTACCTCCTTGTATATTCACTCTTTGAAAGCAATTTTTGCCTTTGCTTTTATGATTATCACAATGCCACTGTTGTGTTTGTGGGACTTTGATGGGCAGGAGGAGCTTAGTCTGGCTTTTGGCTCTCCAATGCTGACCTTCAGGCAGCGACTACCTCCTCCCTGCATGCAGAGGGATGCAACCCCAAGGGTTGATGGCTATTTTCTTATAAACTACCTCTGGCAGCAAAGGATTTTCTTCTTTCCCTTCATGCCTTAGGGCCATCTGATCATTTGCCTCTTGTCAGTTGAACTCCCTTTTCACATAATTTTTGGTACTTTTGTCAAGCACCAGAACCTCACGCTTGGCACAGCCTGTCCTGTGCTTTGCTGCTGACCACAACCAGCACTGGCAGCTCCAGGACACAACAAATGCCTCATTGCAGCCTTCATCCACGGCTGATGGGGCTGGGAAGAGTCTCCCATCAGCATTGTTATGACATATTCTGCTTCGGCAACCAAAACCTTTGATGGCAGCTCAGTGCACACAGCCTTCCAGGCTGTTTGGTTTTCTTATGGCACCATATTTGCTTCCTCATGTGTCTGGAGAGATGCAGGCACAGGACCAAGGCTTTCTTATAGCAATGCAGTAAGAGCAGGGCACTGGGGCAGGATTCATCTCCCCGAACATTGGATATGAGACACCTCCACTCCCAATGGAGAGGAGCCAATGCTATGAACAGATAACTGAAGGCAGATGAACCCCTGACACTGGGACCAAGTTTGCTGTACAGAGGAGGATCCTACTGTAAAGTCTACATCGGGGTTTGGCAGTTTAAACCTCCTTCTCCCTGCTCTGCAGCTGGGGAGTGTGCATCTCCTGCCCATCGTGGCTAGCCAGGCTTTGGCAGCACAGCTCAGCTCCGCGTGCCAGCCAGCACCATGGGGTTTCTGTCTGGAGATGAGCAGAGGGTGACATGCTGAGACACTGCTAGCTGGGAGCCCAGCTGCAGAGCCATGGTTAGGTCAGGCTCCAATCTACAGCTGCAGGATTAATCTGAGCATCCTCAGCTTGACCACAGTGATGCTGCTGACCTGACAGCAATGCTGGCTCCAGGAGGAGGAAGCACCAAGGCGAGAGGGTGGCAAAGTGAATGTCATCTTTGCCAGGGGGACTTTAGAACTTCAGGGAAAGGAGGAAGAAAGATGCCTCTAGGAGATGCAGCTGTGATGCCTTTATGAGCTCCCCGGACCCTCTCAGGACTAGGACAGGACCGTGGCTTCACCCAGTGTCTTGAACCCCTAAATCAGAGTCCAGACACCCTGGTCTCTGCAGCCAGGGCTGGCCTCCTTCTCCTCCAGATGATGCCCTGGCTGCAGTGTCTTCCCCAGCCCAGAGCCTCGTGGTACCCATGCTGGGCAGAGTGCGGCTCTGCCTTTCCAGCATGCAGTACTGCTGGCCCTCAGGGACTGCTTTTTTGTGGGAAGAACTGGCCTGGCTGTGAGCGGGGCAGCCACGGGGACTGTTTGTACCTGGCGTATAAACAGATGCCATCTGGGACGAGAGAGCTGTTTGTTTAGTTAAGAGATTTCTTGGCTCCCCCATGCAGACCTAAACAGGCAGCAGAAAGGCATATGCCAGACCCCCACAGAGCCTGTCTGTCTGCCCACACAACCCCTCACTGCTGGAAACCCCAAGGATCAGGGATGGGGCTCCCAGAGGTGTCCTGATGCCAGCATCCCCTGTCCTGGGGGCTGCAGGGAGCAGATGATGCCACCTCCTCTGGCACTGAGCCGGTGGCCCTTCTCACCAAGACTTGCCCTGTTCCCAGGGCTGGGATGGTGCAAGGATGCTCAGTGAGATCCTGAAGCACTTCAGTGAAGGAAGAGCCATGTCTGCCCCGGCAGGAGGCTGGGCAGGAGGTGTGTGTGGGGTGAAGACTCTCCTGCTTCGCTCTGTTCCCCCACACCCATGCCCAATGGTGCCTTTCAAAGGTGTTTGGGGATGTCCCAGGTTGGAGGTTTCTTGCAGGTTTCTGCGAGAAAAGGCAGTTGCTCTCCCCCAGGGCTCTACAGCCCTTTTGTGTCCACAGGCTGAGCACTCCTCGAGTCAGAGCCAGCAGCCTCATCTCCACACCAACTGCCCCAAAAAGCCTTCTCCTTCCCAGCCTGAGCTCACACAACTTGACAGTGGGGAGCCCTGAGTCCCCCCTAAGTTCCCTGAGCCTAAGCAGAGCAAGGCTTTGGCCAGGAATGAGCAGATCTTGGAGAAATGGAGGAAAACCCTGGAAAGAAGGATCTGCAACATCTCCCATGCTCAGAGAAGGCAATGGATTTCTCCAAACAAGATGAAACTAGAGCAAGATGCACAGCAAAGCTGTTATGGCAAGTGCTGGGAATGTCTTGTTACCACATCATTAGTGCCGTTCTCATCAAAGCTTCCACCCATGGCTGTTTTGCCATGTGTCCAGGTGCTGTGGCGTGGGGCAGGTCTGTGGAAGGAAGGCACTGGAGCCAGACAGTAGGACGTGGAAAAGGAGCTAGGGGAAAAGGACCCAGCTGTGCCCCTGTGCAGGGGAAAAAGGGAAGGCAACGGATGCGCAGTGACTGGCTGTGGGTGTCTCTGCCACCACGGGTAGTGTTTATGGGATCATGCGCATCCAGAAAATTTGGGATGTGCTGGAAGGATCCTGTCAAAGATCTGCAAGTTATTGCAGAAAGTGCTGGCTGGTAGCAAGACGTAAGAAGTGTTCAAGCTGTTTAATTTAATGCAGAGCTGCCTTGATCATGGCATTCCTGTCCGCACTGGGGAAGGCCCTCTGCAAGTGTCCAGCTCCATCATCATCAGCAGAATGGGAGGAATCAGGAGAAAAAAATTCCAGGCAAGAAATGAGATCTGTTTCAAGCCAAGAGTCACTCTTACCCATCTGCCACTGCCTGCACGAGACTCTCCATCCCTTGGTAGAGATTGGCAACATCTCTAAAGCCAGGTCAGAAGCTGCTCTTGGCCCTGCCCAAGGCCATGTTTGTGCCCAGGAGCGAGTGTGCCTTCATCCCCTCCTGCCTTTGCACCCATCCCCGGACTCTGTATGTCCCATCACTCCAGCTCCACAGCAGGTGCCAGCCCCAGGTGGTGACACCAGCCCAAGCTCTGCTCACTGGTGACGGTGCAGAAGTCCTCACCTTTGGGCTGGAAATGAAGCACATTGGTCCAGCTCTTGGAGCTCGGCAGAGGAACTGTGTGGCAGGATGATGCAGAAGAGGAGAGGGAAATGCATCCTTTCCCCTGGTCTTGAAACTCTGGCTGTACCCGCAGCCACCAGCACACCTTTTGCTGCAGCCCAGGCCACCAGCCAGGCTGCCTCCATCTGCAGCAGCCAGCACCAGCCCTGTACCCTCTCCATTGCCATCTTGAGTCCTGCCTGCTCGTCCTCCACTGTGCTGACATATTTACCTTGGATACCTAGAAACCAGGGCCGCTGCACCCCCTCCTGTGCCATTCCCTCTGCTGCGAGCACGATTATTAGGGGAATATTTTTACACAGCGTGTCAGACCTTTAAAAAT